TTTTCCATTTTCATTCTTATTTATTTTTTACTTCCCTCTGTATAGTATTTCCTAAAATTCACAATATGAGGAAGTTGAAGTAAAAAATATATTCATCCTTAATGTCTAAAATTTTTTTATTTTTTTTTTTTTGCAAAATTCAAAGTTTTGTAAGGAAATTCTTATTTCACTGGAAAAAATAAAATTTTACATTATTAAACACCTTATATACATTGTTATACATAGTCATACGTTAATTATACATAAATATATAATAATACACACTATCTGAAGGCAATTTTTTTACAATTATCTATGTTGTATAATTATGTACAATCTTGTATACTTGTGTATAATCATGTATAATTCTTTACAGCTATGAGAATACACACAAATATACATGGTTATAATTATGTATAATCTTGTTTACTTGCGTATAATCATGTATAATTCTATATAACTATGAGAATACACACAAATATACATGGTTATACATGATTATACAAAGTATATATATTTAAAAACATATACATCATTCTTCCTCCCTCCAGAAGTCATTAAAGTGAGAAGAAGAAGAAGAAGAAGAAGAAGGAGGAGGAGGAGGAGGAGGAGGAGGAGGAGGAGGAAAAATTACCAAAAAAAAAGGAGATTTCATAACTTAGAATAAGAGACAAGAATTAAAAGAAAGAACCACTCAATATTTTCTTTTTCTTAAAACGGGAATAAAAGGATCCTCTAATGTGAAAGTCGAAATCTGCTTCGGCGAGCACTGAATCGAAAAGAAAAAGACTACAAAAGATAGATCCGGTGTGGATTGTTCAACAATATTATGTTGTGGAAGAGGAAGATACAGATGAACGGAGCAAGAAAATCTGAAGAAGAACTCGACTATTTTGCTAGAGAGAGAGAAAGAGATAGAGAAAGAGCGAGAGATTGAAAATGAAAGAGAAAGTGGGGTGGGGAGAAAATATGAAAGAGAATTTGGGAATGGAAAAGTTTTCTCTGCATAAAGAAAAAGAGTGGGGGCGGCAATGTGGCTAATCGGTGAAAATAAGTTTTCAACATTATAAAAACTGGGCCATACCGGGTAAGAAGGGAAAATATAGGCCCAATTTTATTAGAATGTTGGGCCAACTGACAATGAGAGTAATTTTGTCTTAATGTAATCATTTTTTCCTTTTTTTTTTTCTTTTCAAAATACGCGCATGTACAAAGTGTGGAACAATTGCTTGTGGAAATTTAGAGAATAATGACATGGTAGGCCTCACTACAAACATAGTAAGGTATTTACTTTATTCATTAATTATAATCTTAACGATGCATTTTGTTCACAAAAATCAACAAATCTAAAGATTCTCCAGTTTCAGTTACAAGCCAGTTAGAAAAATTAAATTTTCGAGAAACCACATCGACTAAGTTCGTAGAGTTTCATTGAACTTTCGCACATGTATAGGAATGGCTAGCACATCGTTGAAGAGAAATAATATTTTTCCCCAATTTGTGAACTCAAATCATGGAATCAAATGGAAACAAAAATCACATATCCCACAAAATCCATGAAAATAAGTTCTTCAATAATTTTCCCTTAATTGGACCAAACAACAATAAGTGATATAAGTTTCTCTTCTACATAAGGAAGAAGAGATTAAATTTTACTTTAGCTATGGCAAGAAAGATGAGCAAAGGTAGACAAAAGATTCAAATGACCAAAATATCAAAAGAAAGCAACCTTCTTGTAACCTTCTCAAAATGTCGTTCTGGACTTTTCAAAAAAGCTAGTGAACTTTGTACACTTTGTGATGTGGTGTTGAAATAGCCATTATTGTTTTCTCCCCTGGCCATAAAGTTTTCTCTTTTGGGCATCCTAATGTTGAGTCTATTATCGATCGTTTCCTTACTCGTAATATTCCTAGTAGCACTACTGCAAATTTTTCTTCTACAACTTGTCAACTTGTTGAGGCTCATAGAAATGCCAATGTTCGCGGATTGAATAAGCAACTCATGGAAATTCTCAATCAGTTGGAGTTTGAGAAAAAATATGAAGTTGAACTTGTGAAAATTAACAAGGCAAAAATAGGGAAGAATTGGTGGGAAAGGGCAGTAAATGAACTTGGACATGCTGAATTGGAACAGTTGAAATTAGGAATGGAGGAACTCAAAAAAGTGTTAAAAAGAAAATGCAGAAAATATTTATTGAGTCATCAAATACTCCTGCATTTTTTCTTGGAGCTTCTTCATCTAATGGACGCCAAGCTGATGTTGAAAATATCACAGGCCTTGGACTTTCCATGGCCCCTCGTGGACATACAATTTTTCCCTGATTAACTGAGTTAATCAAAAAATATTACAATTTTAGGTCAAGACGTCGATCATATCGAGACTTTAATTAGTTTTTTGTTCTAATATACTACTATATTTGAGTAATACCTGAAATGTTTATTTATTGATACTATGCAATTTGCACGACCATACGTCTAGACAATATGCATATTAATTTAGGCTATTGTCGTGGTTTTGTGTTTTTATCATCCTAAAGTGAACGAACAAAGAAGTTTACAGTGATTGCATTCCAAACTTTTTCTGCATTGGGCTTAGTTTTTGCCTGAAAATATTGCTCCAGTAATTTTTTTTTACCTGTACCAACCATTAATTCAAAGTTGAGTTTGGAAAAAAAGGAGGAGAAAGGAGGAAAGTTGATAAATTAATTTGACGAGACTAATCAAATAAAATTATTGTTGGAGCTTTGTCCCATAAATCTTAAACCCTCTTATTCTTTTTTAAGGGTATTTACTCATTAGGTCACTAAAAAAATTATTTACATGTAATTTTCTATAAAAAGTAGGATCTATAATTTTGAAAAGGAATCAGGTTTTATTGTATATGTAAAGATGTGTTGGCCCAAGTAAAGGTTAGTTTTGAAGACTGACAAAGGAACTCAGGCATGAACCAGGTCCATCCCTCCAGGTCCATCCCTTGTGTGCATAGAAACGGGCAAATTCGAGCATGTGGGATACACGTGAAGGAGATAAGATTAAATTGGTGTATTTAGTATCCCTTGATAAAAAAGGTTGCCTAATTGATAAGGAGAAGGACTCCTTAATTAAAGAGAACACTATCCAAGACAGGGAAGGAGTTAGAAGTTGAAATCAACTAGAACTCTTCCACCAAGGAAGAGTTGCATCAGAACTCTAGTTATTTCTTCATCTACTAACTCTATAAATTGGAGGATGTTCTCACATTACATGTGTTGCACGAAAACGCAGAAGTTAAACGTGAATTGAGAGCAAAATAGCAAGGGCTTTTTGCAAGCAGTTCGTGTGTGA